AATTCTAAATATATAATTTTTAACGAAGAGTTAATCACACTGCCCTTGCAAAAAATGCTCATTATGAGAGTTAAGGGGGATAAAAAAAAGAATAATTAGGGGGTTAAGTGTAAATTTGGTGGAATGTGACGGAATTATAAATTGTCGAAAGGGACCAATCAGTGATGAGTTGTGGAGCAGTCACATGCAGCACGCAACGATAAAGCGTGCATGGATGAAAGATCTCAGTCCTCAATGTTCCACCGTGCACTTCAATTATTTCCAATTTTGAAGCTTATTTGTGTAAAATCCTATCACAATAATTAATAGATTTCAATAGAGGGCATTTATTTACAATAATTAAAAAAAAAGAGTTTGTTTATTAAAGTCTTGCTAAGAAGTAATTATTGTGTCCGGACATCGAACGCATCCAGAGACCAATAACAGAGATCCACGTCATCTGGGTGCTTGGTATCGAGCACTTGGTATTGCCCGGTATTCGTCCGAATTTCTAGTGACGTAATAACTTTTCCTTGCTAAGAGAATTGATATTATACATTTTTCATGTAAAATAAAAATATTTATTTATTTCAATTTATTTTCATATTGTAAGAGAATATATTATACCCTAATAAGTCTAAAAAAATCCAATAAAATATAAATTTTAATGTAATCATTGAAGAAATTAAATTTAATATCTTCTGAAATTTGAAATATTGTACAAATTTATAGTTGAAATAAACTATAAGGCTTCGTTTGGGACGGCTTTCTTATTGTTTTTTAAAATAGTTTTTTAGTGCAAAAATTTATAGTTCAATGAATTTTTATGCTTAAAAGTTGTTTTTCAAAGGTATAAGAAAGTTGTCCCAAACATTGCGTAAATGTACTAAATTCAAACACTTAAAATGTATTTAATTGAATAGTTAGATAATACGTGAATCTTCCAAGTTGTTGCATATTATTAGGTCTATCTATAATTTTTTGGGACATTTGAACCAATTAAGATAAGCTCAGACACACATCACATATGTAAGCTTTGAACCTAAGACATCTTGGTTTGTAGCCAACGCTCCCAACTAACAGATCAAGATGAACTATGTCTATTTATGATTTTTGAGTAAGCCGAGGAAGACTAAGGCTTCATTTGGGACAGTTTTTTTTATTGCTTTTTAAAACGGAGTTTTAGTACAAAAATAAAAAAATTTCTACTAAAATTCCGTTTTAGAAAGCAATAAAAAAGCCTTCCCAAACAAAGCCTAAAAGAAAAATCATGTTACCATTCTCTTTAGGGAAGGTGACCTCAAATGTATTATAATGACTAACTTTATTGTAATTGATACTCGATCAAATAATAATGTTATCTTTGGTAAACCTCTCTTTTGTTATTAAGGGATTGAATGAGATCTCTTTTAGATTTGTTGCGGGCTAGAAATTACGCAGCGATAGAGATTTGATTCTACGTCTTAGTGTTGAACGTATAACTAGCACACACACAGAGAACACAAGATTTTTACGTGGAAAACCCTTAAAAGGGAAAAAAACCACGAGGCATAGCCCAGTTGAAAATGATTCCACTAGACTTTGAGTTGGTTACAAAGGACTGAATCACCTCCAGGGGTGATCAGATTACAATTAATTACTTAAGTAAGACGTCGAGTCTTCGGCAGGACGTAGGGACTGAATGTCGGGCCCTGAGTAGGACGTCGGGGTCGATCTTGGTGTCGTTGGGTTCGTATTTCCGAGACGCTCAGTTTGACTATAAGCTCGTTGAAATCGGGGTTCGGATGCTCCCGAAATCAAATTTTGAAGTTTCCAACTAGCCTTTTGCCTCGAGATTCGTGTCCGATCAGGATAATTTTATGATGACGTATCAATATTGTTAGTTGATTGATTGAGATTTGTTCGAGCAAAATCTTATAGTTGACCTAGTTTGACCTCATTGACTTTGTTAATCAATATTTTATTGGGTTCCTCATGATTGTTCGTTATTTAACCTAACAAATTTAGAGTTATACAATGTATGATCATCTATATTTGAATATGATTATTATTTGATTGTGAAGGCACGCCAATCCTCTAGATTAAGGTTTCATTTGGGACGGCTTTTTTATTGCTACTTAAAGCAGTTTTTTAGTTCACAAAATAATTTCTTTTTGTATTAAAAAACTGCCTTTGAAAGCAAAAATAAAACTGTCCCAAACTAGACTTAAGGTTTGCAAATAAAATTATGAAAAGTATTTTTACCAACAACAAAACAATTGAGATTTTTTTGTTTATTTATTTTGAAAATAAATACTAATAATAATAAAATGCTAATGTTGAAGATCTAAGGTCTATATATATATGCATTTTGATCAAAATGATTAAAAAAAAAAGAATGAATAAATAACTAATCTAGTTTTTATAATTTATGTGAAGAAAACTGTTGTTTATTATAATAACTAAAATGATATTTAAATTATTGTAATCACTATAATTTCATTATTAATATTTAAAATGCTACAAAATCCTTTCACACATGCACTTCACGATAGCCATAAATTTTCTTAATGGCTCATTGGCTCATAAGTCATTGTCATTGTCATTGTCGTTTTATTATAAAATAAAATTATTTTTAACGTGGCATATATTTGACAGCTAAAAAGAACCCATTGCCATAAATTTTATAATTAATTTATTATTAAAATACAAAATCCTTTAATTTTCTTAACTCGTTTTTGCAGTTACTCTTTATAAAGAAGAAGAAAAAAAGGAAAATTTATTCTGTAGGAAAACAATGCTCTAAATTAGAAAAATATGCTCTAGTTTTGCTATTTGGAGAAATATGCCTCTGATATATCAGCAAAAAAAATTCTTTTGCACGGGCATGAATTTTGAGTCAAATTTGAATCGAAAATTTTCAAAATTAATTCCGGGACCATCTTAACTCCGATTTTAGAAAACTTATTCTCAAACTGAACATTTCGAAAAGTCAAACTCAACGACACCAAATTTGATCAAATATGAGCCCAAATGGGTCCAAATCGATGGTCCGAAGCGCATTTGAAAGGTTCAAAGGATAATTTGGATGATCAAATGATTTCTAAATGTGACATGTTTATAGCCGAATTGAGGAGCTCGACAAGACAAATCCAACAAGTCCAAGATCGTTGAATTCTTACATCATTAAGATGCTTAAATGTTTGATAACCGGTCTATGATTATGGAAATTGATATTGATTGTCCATATGAAACACTCAAAACCTACAATTGATCTTCTATTATTTACTAGTCATGTTACTAAACCCTAAATTATAAATAGACCGCATATTCTTCATGAGAAAAAAAGAAGAGGAAGAAGAATAATAAATCTGAAACATCTTTTACCACCAAGCTCCTCCTCGACCACCGATCGTTGTCGGACCCTTGCCTGACCACCATGCTTTGCGTACTTCTTCCCGGGCACCAGCCGTCCTTGGACTTCTTCTCGGCCACCGACCATCATCGAACTTCTGTCTTGACACTAACCGACACCGGACTTTGCCCAACCGCCGACCGACAACAGACTTTCTCCTTGCCACCGACTGTTGCTAACTTTTGCAAGATGCCAACTGACGTTGGAGTTTTGCCCGGCCACTGATTGAAGTCGAGCCTCCGCCCAACTCTCCTGATTATTGTGATTTCACCATTTTCGAATTGAATGACTGATCAAACTTTATAATATATTCAAATACTAATGAAATCATTTCAACTAAGAATGCCCCTGTGATTTTTCTCTTTTTTAAGGATTTTTACGTAAAAAATCTTATGTTTTTGAATTCTATATTTGTGTGATGGATATTTGTGCAATATTGAGACAAAAATTCTAACTCTATCGCTGCATATATTCAAGCGTGTTTGAATCAATTTCAAACTTCTCATTTAAAGAAAACTACAAAATAAATAAATAGTGGACCGAAATCAAATAAATGCCTCATTGTCCAACCACAAAGCCAGCCGCAAATTCCGATTAGATTAGCCGAATTTCTCATTAATTAATGCTATTTTCTGGCTTTACAAGCTTCCAAAATACCTAATTAGTGAAATAAACTATACAAAAATATTAAACTCAATGGCCTACAGCTCACCTACTAATATATGAGCATCCATCAAAATCCATTAAATCTTATCAAATTATCACTTACAATAAAATATTTGCTATTTTTTATTACATAAAAATAATAAAAATATTTATTATGAATTTTTGAAATAAATTACGAAAAGAGGTTATTGTGTAATATAAGAATAATTAGAAATAAATTCAAATGATGCTTAAATTTTTTAATAATGTAAGAAAAACTAACAAGAAAAAATTTTATAATTAATTTTTTTAATTTATATTATTATTAAAATTTATATTATTTTTTAATTATAATGATAGTAAAGTAACCTTTCAAATATTTTAGAATATAAAATATATGCGTTATAAATTATAAATGATTTATTATCTTATATTTTATTTTTTAAAATAATAAATTTAAATAAAATATTTTTTATTTATTAATACAAATCTAAAATATAAATGATAAAAATTATGCCCTCAATAAAAATTTTATAGCTCCCAAATATTGAGATGCTGATAAAAAAATTAAACTTACCCATCGTAGTTTAATTTGGTTGGTGGACGAGTGCGGTTGGGAACCCTCCAACTCATGCTCGCCCCCTCTCAAAAATTTTTTGCCCTAATTTTATCAATCTTAAGCATCTTTGTCCAACCCCTATAAAAATTTTTTTTGCCCACCCTGAAAAAAGATGCTGGATCCGCCCCTGCTTTCGGGAGTTAAAACAGATAGATAACCCGTTCCCAAATAAGTATATTTTTTTGAAATATTTATGTCAATTTATATAAATTGATAGTCAAACTCTATCGATAGATATAAATATAAGTTGGGTAAAATCTAAAATTTTCACTAATATACCATGAAACAATATTTTGTTAAGATTTATGGCATGGGAATGTTACAATCCACGTAATATTTTCTTTTTTTGTTTTTTTATCGTAAATTTGATCCGTAAATGACGAGGCTCTGAAACCTCTGCTGTTCTCTCAGTTTTTTTTTGGCACCAAGAAGGAAAGAGAAAAAAGCAGCAATTGCTTCTCTTCTTCTTGTTGTATATGGGATTTAGCTGTTATGGCGATGCGATGGAGCAATGAAAAGCGCTTCTGAGGATTTTCTTCTGGTAAAGATTGAATTTTTCCCCTTCTTCTCTTGTAGCTGTTCTTCCTGTGTCAAAAATATATTCTTTCTTTTGAAATTTGTTTTGAGTTCCTTTCGTTTAGGAACCCAAATGCATCCCATAGCTATTAAATATGGTGAGCTTCTTCAAAGTAAGAAATTTGGGTTGTTCTAACTTTTAATTTGCTCGCTGTAGGTCTTCTTCGATTTGATGTTTCCTGAATTCACATTGGAATTCTAGGTTTGCAATGTCGAGGCCATTGTACCGGGGATTCACCGGCAGCAGTGGAAGATTATCCACTGGGAGTGGAATCGGCGATTCCTTCAACAAGAGCTACCAACTGAAAGATTTCTCTGAAATTGGATTTGGGCATGAGCTCCTGAACCCTTTTGGAACTAGTAAAAGCCGGCGGAGTTTGACACTTGGTCTGCTCAAGCTCGGCGTTGCCGGAGTCATCTTTCTTGCACTTTTAGGTTTACTGTTTTGGGTTTTATGTATCTCTACTTCCTCACAAGCTATCCTCTATAGAGGCTATCGAAGACTCCAAGAGCAGCTTGTTGCAGATCTGTCAGTTGTTGGAGAGCTTTCCCTTGGTATTGGCAAGCTCAAAGAGCTTGAATTCTGCCCAAGTGATTATGAGAATTATGTGCCATGTTACTTCAACATTTCTGAGAGTTCGAATCCGGCAGAATTGGATGGAAAGATTGATCAGTATGAGCGGAGCTGTGTTCATAGATCGGCAAAGGAACAAGGTTGTTTGGTTTTGCCACCAAAGAATTATAAGATTCCACTGAGATGGCCAACTGGGAGAGACTTCATTTGGAAGTATAACGTGAAGATTACAGGGCAGGAATTGTCGTCTGGAAGCTTGACCAAGAGGTATACTTGTTTTGGATTTGGATGATATATTTTTGTTTCACAAGTGTCGATTATGAACTTTACAATGTAGGATGATGGTGGAGGAAGAACAGCTCTCTTTTCACTCTGACTCTCTTATGGTTGATGGTGTAGAAGACTATTCCCATCAGATAGCTGAGATGATTGGGCTAAGGAATGAGTCCAATTTCAATGAGGCTGGGGTAGCTCTCTCTTTTCAAAATTTTACTTATTTGTTTATTTTGATTGAGGAGCAAGGGTGTTTTTGATGCATGATTATTAAATGTCGAGGTATTTTTTGGCATAATAGTTGAATTTTCGTTACAAACTTCAAAGTTAAGCGAGTCTCATGGAACCTGTCAATCTTTTCACAGTAACTTTAATGCCGAAATTTAGCTTATGAAATCAACATTGGATGAGACCTACAGTTGAAATGTGTATTTTTAGTTTCTTAATCAGCCTAGGTGTATGTTAAAATTTACCTTTTTAGGTGAAGAAGGTGCATGTTTATGTTTATACATCAAGCTTCTTCTGTAGTAGAATCTTAGTTATGTTTTTGGTAAAAATTGTTGATATTCAGATATCAATGCTAGAAATAGCTTTCCTTTGATTCACTACTAGGATCACTTAGCTTTTATAACAATGTTGCATTTAAACATCATCATCATCATCATCATCATCATCATCATTAGCTTCATCTCAACTATTTGGATTAGGCTTGATGAATTCTCATTGTCAATTTATAGTTTATGAGGTGTTTAATTTACTTCTTATATTTCAAAATTATGTGCTATGCTAAATTATGCTTTGGGAAAAAGAATGTAAGAATCATGGATATGTTTTAATCTTTCTTGGTGTTCCTGTCTTTTAATTTCATTATTCTCTTAAAGTTTTGATTTTTTTTCTAAAGCCCTTTTTTGCTGATGATTACAATATACTTTTAACATGTATTAACTATTAACATTTGAATTAATTGGAATATTGCTTCTCTATTAAGCTAATGATTGGAGTATTTGTATTGCTGTAATTTTATCTTTTGTTGAGGATAAAAACTTAATGATCTACTGTCATGTTGCAGGTCAGGACTGTGTTGGATATAGGTTGTGGCTTCGGTAGCTTCGGGGCGCATCTTTTTGCAAAACATCTTCTTACCATGTGCATTGCAAACTACGAAGGTTCTGGAAGTCAAGTTCAACTTACTCTGGAAAGAGGCCTACCTGCTATGGTTGGTTCGTTTGCGACGAAACAGTTGCCATATCCTAATCTGTCTTTTGATATGGTACACTGCGCAAGATGCGGGATTGAATGGGAGAGAAATGGTTTGCATCTTTGATAATCATTATCTTCTCATATCATAACTTTCATTAGTATGGAACCGGCCTTTACTGTGCATTGCTGATGTTCAAAAATTTCCTAAAAAATGAGAGCTTTATATGAGCTTCATGGCCTAACAAGATAAAGTTACATATCCAGATGGAGCTGTATTTCCCATTTGAAATATTTCTAGTTTTGAGCTGATAATGAACTCTTCCTGCAGATGGTATCTTCGTTCTGGAAGTTGACAGATTACTGAGGCCTGGAGGATATTTTGTCTGGACTTCACTTACGAACACTCACAGGTCTCTCCATAACAAGGAAAATCAGAAAAGATGGACTCTAATTCGTGATTTCACCGAGAGCATCTGCTGGGATCTGCTTTCACAGCAAGATGAAACAATCATTTGGAAGAAAACCAGCAAAAAGAAATGTTATAGCTCTCGGTATCTCGTCTAACCTTCTTTCAAACGGTTGCCTGCTTTTCTGAATTGTTTGTATGATGTAGATTGCGCTATCAAAATATGCATTAGTGAGAGTAAATTTCTGCAATTTATAGGAAATCTGTCTCTCCAATCTGTGATAGAAGCCTGGATATGAAATCTCTCTATTACCAACCTCTCAATCCTTGCATAGGAGGAACAACAAGTCAAAGGTGGATCCCCATCGAAGATCGAAGACCATGGCCTTCTCAGGTTATGCTAAGCTCGGCCGAGCTGAGCTTACATGGTATGTTGCATAAACACTGAGCCAACTAGTTTTTCAATTTCAATTCTTTGTTTCACAACGATTTATAATTGATTAGGTGTGCAGCCTGAGGAGTTTTTTGAGGATTCCTTAAACTGGGAACTATCAGTCCAAAACTATTGGTCTCTTCTTTCACCTTTAATTTTTTCTGATCATCCGAAAAGGCCTGGTGATGAGGATCCCTCTCCACCTTATAATATGCTGAGAAATGTACTCGACATGAATGCTCGATTCGGAGGCTTCAATGCTGCTTTGTTGGAAGCTGGAAAATCTGTCTGGGTCATGAATGTAGTGCCTGTTACAAGCCACAACTCTCTCCCTCTTATCTTTGATAGAGGATTCATTGGTGTACAGCATGATTGGTATGTCATGTAACTTGTTCCTGTTTGTCTGAAATGTTGAATATTTGATTGTTCAAGCTATTTATGTTGAAAAAATGTTGTTATGTTAATTTAGATTTCGTTTGGGACAGATTTCTTGCTGCTTCTTAAAGCAATTTTTTAGCACAGATTTTTTTAAAACTAAAATTTTTAATGCTAGAATGCTGATTTAAAAAGCAATTAAAAAGTTGTCACAAACGAAACCTTAATAACTCAAAAACCATTGTAGCATCATCATGCCATCAATAAATTATCCTATTGCAATATTAAATATTCTATTGAAGGATGTGTTTGATTCTTCAAAAGATTATTATGTGCAGCCAGAAATACTATGTCTAATTTTTTTGTTAAATTTCATTTTAAAGAATTCATTGTGTTTAAAATTCTAATTTAATGACATTTTGAATAAATTAAACCTGTTTTGATTAGGTGTGAAGCATTTCCGACATATCCAAGAACTTATGATATGGTTCATGCTCAAGGACTGCTATCAATTCATAAACACCACGGGTGTTCTGTGCTCGATGTGTTCTTAGAGATTGATCGCATTCTACGGCCAGAGGTAATATAGTGTTGCTTTCAAATCTTCATTTTGTTTCCTGATACCTTTGATCCATGAAATGATTCAAAGTTGTGTCTTCTTATTAATTCCACAAAAGAAAATTCCAAAATTGAATACAAAATGAAAACTTGTTATGTTACATGTAACGGTCTTTATGATCTTTCTTTTTTGAATTTTTTCATTTATTTTGGCTGATGGATGGTCAGACATCTAGAATTTGGTAGATTTAGGCTTTGTTTGGATGACTTTTTTTTTTGCTTCTTAAAATAGTTTTCTAGTACAAAAATTAAATTTTTTGTACTAAAAAGATATTTTAAGAAGCAATAAGAGAGTCATCCTAAATGAATTCTTAATTGAATCAAAATGGAACTTAAATAATTGTACTTCAAATATTTCACCATATCAAATGATAAGTAATATACAAAAATTAATTCAATCATTGAAAGCGAAAAAGAATAAAAAAACAAAAAAAGAAGATTGTACTATAGGTTCATCCAATTGATGGCTACATCTTATTGTAGATTTCATTATAGGACTATGAAGAATTACAACCTAATTTTTCTAATATAATTAGAGAAAGTGCCTTCTCTTTATGAAAGGGGAAAAAAAAAGAAAAGAAAAGCAACAAAGCATGAAATAACCCACAATATTGTATATATTTTCAAGGCAGAACCCCAGAGGAGGGTTTAGTACCCCCTTTCAATCCTGATGAGACAGCTTATCGTAAAAGCCTACCCGAAATTAAGACTTTGTTTGGTACGGCTTTATTATTGCTTTTTAAGAAGCTTTCCAGTACAAAAATAAAAATTTTGTACTTAGAAGATGCTTTAAGGAGCAATAAGAAAGACATGCCAAATGAAGCCTAAATCTATGTAGCATGTTTTATTCATAGCATAAAAATCAAGCTCCTCAACTTAATAAGAACAACTGACATCTTCTACTAGTATAAAATTACGAAGATATCAACCAAGTATCCCCTAATTTAGGTTTCGTTTGGGACAACTTTCTTACTGTTTTATGAAGCAGTTTTTATTACAAAAATTTCAAATTAAAAAAAAAAATTGTATTGAAAAACTACTTCATAAATCAGTAAGAAAGTTGTCACAAATGAAGCCTTAGAATCATCTTATTAATGTTAGCTCTACTCCTTCCATATATGTAGGATCTAAGTATGGATGATTCATTGATCTTTAAACCCACTCTCTCTTTTTTCCAAAATATTTTAATCTGCCATAAACTATCAACTAATATGCATTTTGATTTTCCTCTTGGCAAGCCAGGGTTGGATAATTATTCAAGACGCAGCTCCCCTCATTGAAGCTATCAGAACAGCAATCCCACAATTAAAATGGGATGCTCGAGTTACAGAAATCAGTGGAAACAAAGATGACAGACTCCTTGTTTGTCAGAAGCCCTTCTTCAAGAAACAGATACAATAATCAAGCTGAATATTACTTCCCATAAGAATCCTTTTTTTCTGGCCTCAAATGGAAGAAACCATTAAACAAAATACAAAGATGAGCTCTTTCTATTGGGGCTCTCTAAGTCATAGAGAGACCTTATGATTCGCCATTACGATGAGCAAAGAGACCTTCCCAAACGCAGGGCTTATTATTACAACCATACAAAGCAGCAAGGTGACTGAGTAATACAATTTCAAGAAGATGAAGCAGCAGTAAGGGACAGTTGTACTGAATGCTTAGAGTAAATTCTTTTATCTGTTACTTGCTCTCAACATTTATGAATTTTCTTTGTAATGCTCTTCTTATTGCCAATGGAAGTTATAGTTTCTCTTGATTAATCATACTCTTAAATTTATAATTATTATGGCCCAACGTCAACTTTCTTCCACTTAAAAATTTGAATATTGAGATAAAAGTCTGTGAACCTGGCTTTGAATTTGCATTCTCTCCAAAGAGAGCGAAATTCACAATTATTAAAGCTAGAAGTGGTCATAAAAAGTATATATTTTTCTCTACATAATTATGATTTCATTTGATTTTAATGTACCTCAAATTATGAAGTATCAATGTCTTGGGATTTTTTTTTTTTGCGCGACCATTTCTTTCGCTCTATTTTGAGTCATATTTTGTCATAAAGTAAATTGACACCCTTAATCCTCGATGGACTCGCGAGCTGACTTGAATTTGATTTGACAAATGGTTTGTGAGCTGAGCTTGATGAACGAATAAATTTGAGTCGGACTTGAATCTTATCGTTTTAGCTTGCGAGCTAGCTCATTAAAAAAAAATATGAATATAAAATGCACTTAACATATATTACCATTCATTATTTTAAATATAAAAGTTTTTAAAAAAATTTAAATATTATATTGCGCTTTCTTATATAAACATTTACTTCTTATTTTTCTTTTAATTTATCATTTTATTATAATAAATTTTCTCTTTCATAAAAAAAGCGTCAATGCTCCAAAACTATTATATGATCAATTAAGTCAATATGAATGATCCGATGGAGTTATATAATTTATTGTCAAAATAATAAATTTTTTTTATCTCCCAAAAACTATAAATAGGCTATACTTTCACACAATTATGGAGATTGAGATAAGGCCACAAGAAGGATTTTAGAGGAGATAATCTAAAGCTCTACTTGGCACAACCTAGTGTTAATCACCATCACCACTAAAATTAATGCCCACAATGTGCAACAATGGTGACACCTGTGGTCAAGAAACACAGCATCGCACATTGTCAAAAACAATGTCAACAACCATCATCAACAACAATATTGACACCTGATTTCGCCACTAAGACTAACACTTGTTATTGATTATAACAATGTCATAGCTAACACCCACCATCAAAACCATCATCGATGCTCGTTGTGACCACCAAGATTGATACTCATCACTTCCACCAATATTGACGCTTGCGATGTACACTAATTTTTATTATAGTCACTAACAAAAAGGCTAAGACCCACTCTTACCAACAAGGTCAACCCCCATTCTCATCATTGATGTCGACGCCCATCATTGACTCCACAACAACGTTGATGCCCACCATCAACATCAATATCAAAACCGACCATCACCATTTCCCCACCATCGACAATAATATTGACACCATCCATTGACACTAATTTTGATGTCCACCATTGACAACAATGTCAGATGCCCCCTATCAAAACCAATGTTAACGTATAATGTCACCACAAGACTTATGTCCATCATCAACAACAACATTAACAAATATTGTACCCAACAAAATAGATGCTCGTGGTCATCTACAAAAGGCTATTATCAACGATCTAATTCCCTAATCTCCACTGATATAATGAGAACTATCAAGCAAACAGCCCATGATATATTGATCCGCAATATCTCGATGCTGTTCGTACTTCTATCATAAAAATCATCTCCTATAATTTATGTCTACTATATTGGTAGCAATGCCTTAACAAATTATATGAAGCATATCATTTATAACATACCACTCACATTAGTATAATCATTATTAATAAGTTGAATCACATGATATATATATATATATATATATATATATGGGAAGGTGGAATCTCAGGGTGGCAGGTACGGACGACGGAATCACACGGCAAAATCTAAGTTTGAACCAGGTAATCGAGCAGCTCGACGAGCCATTTTCAATGGGCGAGCTTAGCTCGAGCTCAGACTTTGGCTAGCCAGTCAAGCTCGAGTTAGGCCTGACTCAATCTCTACTCGTCTCATTTGCATTCCTAATTAGGAGTTTGGCTCCAACTAAGAAGTCCAGGATTCAAGTCTCACATGTGTTTTATTTGTGTGTTTAGACGTTCCCCCTTAAAACAAAAACAAAAATCTTCATTACGTCCACGGGTGGACGAGGTCACTTTTTTCGGTCGGGTTTAGCGTCTCTTCAACACACAGCCATCAGTGTGACGCAAAAAGCACGTCAACGGCCCGACCAACCAAGGCATCCCAAATGGACGGCTGTGATCTCTTACTCTCAGTGAAAAGTGAAAACTGTGATATATAATACAAATTCAATTAATCGGAAAAGAGATAAAGAGTTTAGAAGGTGGATCTTTCCTCCTCCGTCCACGGTCCAACCCATTTACCCTTTCAGCCGAAATGAATGGCGACAGTTGGAAGAGCTAAAATGCGCCGGAGCCGACCTTGCGCTACCGTGCAGCTCGTCTTCTTCCTCGAGGTTTTCGATCTCGGCCTCTTCGCTGATTTCGGGTTATGGAAGTCTGGATCTGGAGGGCGGCGATCGCCTTTATGTTGGTCTTTGGTGTCGTGGTAGCTGATGCCGGCGTTGCGTCGGAGGGTTGCCGCCGAATTTCGGCCGGCGAATCGATCTTGATCCCGCCGGAAACTTGTTCCCTTCTAGATGTTTGGCCTGTCGGTGGACAATTTGTGGGTGTCGTTGAGGTTTGTATCTTATTTCTTTAAGGTTTTTGTTTTTCTTTAATTTGATCTTCGCTCTCTTGCTTATTTTGTTAGCTTGGGTGTAGGGAATCATTGATCATTTGCTTCTTCTTCTTTTCGACTTTTTTTTTTTTTATTAGCATGATCAGTTTTTCGCATACAGTAAGAAAATGGTGATTTCAGAAATGAGGTAGAATGACTTTTTATTTATGAAAATGTAAAACTATTGCTCTGTGAGTTGGGGCTAAGTTCAGAAGTACCTCAGCTAATTTTCAGAAAGATAGGAACTCGATTTTTTTTTTCTAAATTTAAGAAGAAGCTAAAAGGGAAATTTGGCTCCAACCAAAAAAAGGCCAATATCCCTAAAGATGATTGGCTTTCGGTTAAACAAAATGTAATCATACGCAATGATTGAAATAACCGGAATAATAATTAGTGTTCGTTTGATTTAAACAATTTTTTTCTTTTTTCTTTTAATTAAAACCGTCTAATTAAACAACATATAAAGTTATATTTGAGTATATTGAATCACATAACAGTGGCGAAAATCGTCATGCTGAGATTGGAATGCTATTTTGAGAAATTGATGAATGGGAGTTTACAAAGAGAAATTGTTTTAGAAGCTTAAAATAAATAAAATAATGAGATATATTATAGTGTCATTCAAAGTAAAATTAGCTTTGAAAAAAAATGTATATAAATCTTTAGGTTTCAAATGAGATACCCATTGAGATTTAAAACATTGTAGGGGATATTATCATAATTTAATTAAGAATTTTTTTTAAATAAGACGATGTTAAATAATTGGAGAAAATATTTTGATACAAATAATTATTAATAAAAGAAATATTCGAGATTATGATAATTATTGAGGAATTAAAATTTTAAATTATTCAGTGAATTCATGAAAGCAAGTAATTAAGCATAGCCTTAAAAGGATAATGCTAATTTTAGATAATCAATGCAGTTTAAAGATAGAAGTCTGCACTCTTAAAGTATTTTTTGTGTTAGGACAATCAATGTACAAGTACAGAGAGTTGAAAAAGGTTTTTAATATATTTCTTATTGATTTTGATAAGACATTTGATTGATTACGTTAAGTCGTTAATAAATGATTTTGTGTGCATTAAGAATGAAATATGTCGAAAGTATATTAGAGTTATTAAACACATCTATGATGGAACGTTGACTATCATTGGAAGTTGTGAAGTGACAAGATAAGTTTTCATTTTTTTTTTTTGACAATTATGTCAATTAAGGCAAACTCATAAACACATCACATACTTAAAACTTGAACCCAAAACTTTTTAGTTGGTAACCAAAACTCCCAACCAACGGCACAAGATGAGCTGCGTGATAAGTTTTTCAACATAATTAGTGTTTTTTTGCTTTGAGTTGATATTTTTTATATTTATCATATAAATGCTTGTAATGAATTTTTGAAGTGAGTCATCTTAATTTATTTCAATAATTTACCAAATTAACACATTATTGTAAGATAAGTAATACTGAGATGTGGTAGATTTGTGTCTTGAATATATTATGCAAAAGAATGATGATATAATAGTATGTAATTTCAAGTGCTATGGATGATTGTTTAAAATGAAAAGTGCATAAGAAGTATTATGTTACAAGAGGATACCATGAAAATTTTAACATTAAATTTATAAAATTACAATTAAGCTGAGAATGTTATATGTGTATGAGTGTTAAGAAGTGGAAAAAAAAAACATTTTCTATTAAGTTGAATGCTCCACGTTATGATATAAAGGTTTAATATTGTTGTATTGAGTTGAATGTGATAAAAATGAGAATTTTAGATGAATATATCACGAAGCTAGATAAAATAAATAATTTTTTTATATTAAAGAAAGAAGCATTAGATAGACATCTATTGAAGATGAGTTAGTTGAAAATAGACATAGACAGTTTGTAGATACAATGGAGAGTGGAAAATGCTTTCATTAAACAACAACAGCAACAATAACAACAAGCCTTTATCCCACTATGTGGAGTTGGCTATATGAATCCTTTTTTTTTTTTCATTGTGTCATGTTAAGAGTCAAATTCTCATCTAAGTTTAATAATGAAGGATCATTTTTAATATTTTCTAACCAAGTCTTTTTAGATTACCTCTACAATTCCTAACATAAATCAAATCTAATACATTAGCTTTCCCAACCAGGTCATTGAAAGGCCACCTTTGTATGTGACCAAATCATCTAAAGCGACTCTCTCTAATCTTTTCTCTTTTCATGTAATGCTTTTATTAAACAAATAGATAAAATTAGTGCTGAATTATTAGAAAGGAATATGACTAACATCATAAATATAAGTTGTTTTAAATGATTACTAAAGAATAGGTTTGACCTTTAGCATCATTTAGTGGAATGAATATTAGATGATGATTCATAAAACTTGTCCTAAATAGTTGTTTAAGACTAATTATATTGGATGGTGATGATGACAAAGTTGCAATAAGGTTAGTGAATGAAACCATGTGCATTTCACTTGCAGACAGAGCTCTCTTCATAAGCTGCAATGTCTTTTAGTGGGTGTTTTTGTCTTGTGCTATATCCTTGTCAGTTTATGTCCCATATTTTCAAGATTGTTATATCTCCCTATCTAATTTCATTATGTTTTACTTCATAGATACATAATCATTCATCTTACATTGCCTTGCATAAAGTTTTCTTACCATTTTTGTAAAATTTATTAATCTACAATTCTGCATTACAATGACGTTTAACTTATATTTCAAAACATTTTTATTTGAAATTTAAGAATATTTATATTAAATTTCACTGATTTTATCAAGTTTATTTTCTTTTTATACATAGGGAGATGAGATTGCTTTGCAGAGGGCAGCAAATATTGTGGTCGCGAATAGAGATCAATATGTCGCTGTGTTCTTCTATGCTTCCTGGTGCCCTTTCTCAAAGACTAGCCTTCCAATTTTCAACAGCATGGTTTCCCTGTTTCCTAATATTCCACATTTTACATTTGAAGAATCAGTCATAAGGCCTAGGTATGTTTAAACTTAATTTCTTTGCAGCTATCTGACCAATTATATATATGTAAATTCATATAAATATGACCGTTGACTTTAAAATTACAGCATTCTCTCAAGATATGGAGTTCATGGCTTCCCAACTCTCCTTCTGCTACACTCTTCTATGCGGGTTAGGTATCATGGATCACGAAGCATTAGTTCTCTTACCGCTTTCTACTCTAATGTTACAGGTAAGTTATCTGCTACAAATCCTCTATAAGAGAAGATCAAGTAAATGATCAAAATGGTTCTTTTTTAAAAAAAAAATTAGTTCATTTTAGTCCCATAATTTTTGGGTGATCAACTTAATTCCTCAACTCAGTAGATTTAAGCTTCATTTGGGACAGTTTTCGTATTGCTTTTTTGAACGACTTTCTAGTACAAAAATTTTAAATTCGAAAAATTTTTATACTAAAAAGTTGTTTTAAAAAGCAAGAAAAAAATCGTCCCAAACGAAGCGTTATTCTAATTTGATCCTATCATTAACTTAGTCATTCCTTTAGACAAAAATCAGTGAAGGTATACTTTACAAGAAGGTATATTGATTATTTTTATGATCAATCTCGCTATCTAATTCTAGTAGCTCAGATAAATAAAATCATGAAATTTTTTTCTCAACCAGTTTCTGTCAAAGAAATGACAAGATTGGTTATAGAATCAAATTGGCTCAGACTTGATGAATTGAGGGGCTAAACTGAACAGATATGAAAAATCTGAGAATAAAAATAAGTACATATCAGAAGTCTTATTTAAGATCATTTACTTTGGAGAAAATTTATGCATTTTGTTAATCATAACCAATAAAAATTACCAAAATTTGTTGATTACCATACAAAAACTGGTAATTCATCAAAATGCGATCTGGCTGGGCTATCTTTGCCATTTTTTTTATGAATTCTGAGTCAATACTTCAACATGCACATAATTTATATTAGATTTCTTTATCTAGAAGGCATCTTTTGTCTCCAATTCTTTTCTAATCTGACCTTTTGCCTATATTTAGGTATTAAGCCTACATCAGCAAATAAAACAACCAAGAAGAAAGCTATCTATCTAACAAACCTCACTGAAAACAACTTGGACGAAGAAAATTGCCCGTTCTCATGGGCAAAATCACCAGAGAAATTGCTCCAGCAAGATACCTATCTCATACTGGCATCTTCATTTTTGACACTGAGGCTTCTCTACCTAATCCTTCCAAAGTTGATTGCCTGTTTGATGAGTTTGTGTGACTATTCCCAAGTTTTTCTCCTCCAAACTAAGCGAGGTTTTAGTAGGCTAAATCCATGGAAGGGAACAAATTTGAAAGGAGGAGCAATGAACGCAAAAGCCTGGGCTTCCAAGTCTCTGGCATCTGTATCAATTGGTGAGCCATCTGGGAGAGCTCAATCTTTCCCTCCAATGACCGGAGATTAATAATTTTTTGTAATGGTCATAATATTTGTAAATCATTTGTTTTCTATCGTAGCATCATCTATTCATGGATCAAAGTTTGGTTTCTGGTTATTCTAAAAATTTACATAAAGGCCGACTTAATTTTTACTCTTTGTAGTTTTCTCATGCAATGGATCCTCATGTGTGGTTTTTTTTTTTTACTAAGACTATCCTTTATTATTTATTTTTGCAATTATCAAGAGCTATGTTATCAAAATATTTTGTACAATTTTGAAACATTCCATAGTAATTGACTGAACTCGATTTTGTTTTAAATTGCGCTAACCCAAACCCAAATAATATAAGATCTACATAAGGAAAAAATATTTATTTTGTTTGTATTCAACTTAGGCTTCATTTAGGATAATTTTATCACTGCTTTCTAAAGCGACTTTAGTATAAAAATTTCTTAAAAGCTGTGAAAAAAACAATTGTGAAAAGTTGTCCTAAATAAAGCCTTATTTGCTAACAAAACTGCGTTCGTGAATCCAATACCCAAAGCTTTTGTTGCCTGAACTATTTCATACCAAATTTAGATCTGCTACAATGACTATGTTAACTCTCTATCTAAGGCTTCATTTAGGACGGCTTAAAGCAACTTTTAGTATAAAAATTAAATTTTTTGTACTAAAAAAATTCTTTAAAAAGTAGTAAAAAAGTCATCCCAAACAAGCCGAAATATCCTTCTTGTGCCTAAGTTCTGTTTTTCATAATGCTTACATTATGGCCAGCTGGCCACAAAGCATAACCATACATGCTTAAAATGAAAAATATGAATGTATTAAACAAATACAGAGTTATATTGGACTAACAAAGATTGGAAACGATAAGATAAATTCCATTCATCCAAAGCATCGATTTTACATTGATAAAACACCAAAAAGTAAAATTCTACATAATGTACTAGTTAACGATAAGTTCCACTCCATCTGAAGCACTGTTTACGCTCATCGAAAACTAGACAATATGCTGTTGAAAATTGAATGCATTCCTAAACAAATTTACAATTCCTACGGCTATATGCAACATGACTAAGGCTTGTTTGGGACGGCTTTCTTCCTGCTTCTTAAAGCAGTATTTTAGCACAACATTTTTAATTTTTGTTCTAAAAAGTTGCTTTATGAAGTAGGAAGAAAGCCGTCCCAAATGAAGCCTAAGACCACTATTTTATTTACAAATTAGTCCCCTAAGTTAGCCTCTAAATAACTACAGATAGCCCATAGAAAGGGAATACAATCAGACCTTATTTTTCTGAACAGAATGCTCAGAAAAATTGCCTAGTATTTTTACTAGTTCAGTTTCGCTAAGTGGCAAGAGTGCAGTTGTGCATTTTCTAACATAATATTGGCCGGATGTCAATGCATAAAATATTTCAAAAGTTGCATTAAATTAGTTACCTATGAGCGATTAGTCCAAGGGAGAACGACACTTTGATCTTCTGGAGCCAGCAGTCTTGTTCTCACCAGTTCCCACGCCTAAATCCTGACATATTAAGTTTTCTTCATCACCTCTCTTCTTAGAACAGGTTGGAGAGGGAGCAGAAGCAATGAGAGAACTTCTACAGGGCCTGTCTCCTTTTGTGCTACCATTTTCATTCTTTGACCTTGTGAGTTTTGTATGTTGAAAGCCATGAGACACATACACAATGCCTCTACAGCCTTTTCCTCTCTTAACTGAAGCATGTAATACTGAGTTTGATTGCTGCAGTTGATGAAGATCTTGAGCAACTTGGTTTTCATCATCCTTGCTAGAGAAACATGGAACCTGCTAATGAAATGATTTTAGTTAAAATCAGGGCTTCTCTCAACAAAGTGTCATGGTGTTTTCCATTATATCCAAAACATACCATCATGGGTGGATCCCCCATGTACTCAGGGTGGTGGGCAAATGCCCACCCTAAAAAAAAAATTAGCGTGGATATTTTGGAATATTTTGAATATTTTGGGTATTTTTCCCCCTAAAAAAGAAATTTGCATTAATTTTATCAATCCTAAGCGTCTTTGTCCATCCCCCACAAAAAAAAATAAAAAAAAAATTTGTGCACCATGAAAAAAGCTGGATCCGCCCCTGCATACCATAGAGTGAGATGTGTGTGAAAGAGAGAGGAGAGAGAAAACAACTATCATGGCAGTAGCTCAGTGCTTAAAAGAAAATAGAGTGAACTTATTTATCTCATTTAAGAATATAGTGCCTTTATTAGAGACAACTAAACAGATTTTTAAAAAGAAGCATTATAAATTGATGCAATAAGCTATCAAAGAGATATGGCTTCAAGCAATAATTCCATTAAGTCGAAAAATTAGAAGCAAAAATTGTACCTTATTATGGATTTGTATAGGTGGGTCGCCACATAATTCTTCTTCTTCGGAGTCCTCTAAATCTTCACATTCAAAAACCACATCTTCACTTTCATCTTCAGAATCACTCAATTCTTCTTGCTCCATTATAATTCCAGGGTTAGACATTTCATGAAAGTCTTCTATGCATTGGTGGCATGAAATATCATGCCTTTGAGGTATTTTTTTAGGGCCAAATCCATCATTTGAATAGAATGAAGCTGAATGAACAAATAAATTTGTTTCCCTTGAAGCCTCAAGTTCTTTGTCTCTAACGTCAAAATGTTTTAAATTTGCTTGTACAATTTTCTCGACTATTCTTTCCTCAGGTGTAGATGTATGTAGCTCAACATTCTGATTATCACATACTTCAGTGGTCCTTTGCATGTCCATTGTAGAAGATAAGTGAATATTTAAGTCAATCTTATTCATTCCATCACATTGAAAACCAGATGGTGCACCATTTACTAACTGAACAACAGAAGTTTCATGCGGGGCTCCTAAATCAGAAGATAGCCCATCAAATGTGATAGGGACATCACTATTGCTCTCACATCTTTGAAGAAGTGGATGAAAATCAATAGTGCTCGAAATTGTCGGAAGACCTAATCCTTGCCTTGAATTGTCAGGGGTTGCAGTACTAACTGTGTCGATTGAGCACTGAGACCCAATGAGAAAATTATAGGAACTTGGAGCAGTGTTTTGACAATTAAATGAGAAATGAGATGGGTTCTTGAAAAGTAATGGGTGAAACTGGACATCAGATTCAGAACCATTCTCTTTCGTGTGATCTGCAAGGTTGCTTCCATCTGAATGGGAATTACTTGGATGATTATCTGAAAGCTTGCATGTATTTTCTATAAGATTCATCACACTTGCTCCTGCTTCTGCTACATGAGAAACCCTAAGAACATGGTCCTTCAGCACCTTGTCATTTACATTAGAATGTATTGACTCGCCATGATAAATTTTGAAAGCTGACTGAGGGATCACACGACCAGATGGGGGAAGGTTCACAGGAGGCAAATCAGGAGCTAGCTTTACAATACGGAGTGCTTTTCTCTTCCGAGCTCGATAAGATTTTGTCAATAAACGACCTCCGGAAGAAAGATGCCTTGAAGAAATACTGTAAGATGCATCATATCCAATCTGGGAAAATTGATGCAAGCAATTTGCATCTTTTGGTAATTTTGAAGAATTCAAAAGCACATTCTTAGTTCCAGTTTCCAATTGTGATTCTCCATAATCATTTGTAATAGAGTCACAGTTTACACCATTACCACTACCTCTATATTGCATCAACCGAATAGCTTGATTGTTACTATTGTTAATGCATGAAAGATGGCCACTGTGAACCATGTTTTTAGAGCATCCGGACTCCAAATCTACTAGAAAGGCTTCATGCACATAAGCTTCATCTTCACAATCCATGTCACCCTCACTGTTATCTCCATAATTGACCTGGGGCCATACATCCATAAAGATGTATAAGTTGTCAGCAATAAACAAGATTATTAGAATGCTTCATTTGATTAACAATACCCAAACTTACCTCCTTTTCTGAAGTTTCTTGCTCAGTCATACAAGCTTTCAATCTTCTTCTTTTAGCTTCATATAGACGCCTCTTCTCCTTAACGGCTTCTGTTTTCTTATATGATTTTTGGATTCCCATAGCAATTCGCCATTGACGTGGTAGCATTGATGGATCTCTATGGGGGACACAAGATTTCCACACAGATTGCCAATCATGCTTAAAGAATCTTAATCCCTAGTTTGGTTAGAAAAATCAGGATTAGTGGAGACCAGTATGCACTAACAAGTTGCCAATAGCATATTGATGGAAATAATACCACCTCGCAGATAAGTGCTTTCTCATCTTCTCTCAAAGGGGAGGATTTCATGCGCCTGACCATCTACAAAGTACAACAAATAAATTACACCATGGAAGTAAACTTGAAAATTGCACCAAAGCATTACAAGAATGAAAATATTAAATCGGCCACCTGCACATTAGTATTCAAATAACTACTGAAGTATGCTGCAAAAGATCATAGGATTCACATGATGCGATAACTAGGCCCATGAGTTTTAAAAAGGTAGAACGATACAATGAACAATTGAAAATAAGAGAATGATAAATATTTTCCTGCATTAATATACATTCATAAAGTATTTAGACATAGAGTTGCCTCTAAGCAATAATTATGATTATGAAACTTTCCTAGAGCTCCATGAATTTGTGCTCCAGATTTCCATATCCACCTGCTGTTATGAATATGTTAACCTACTCCCTAATTTCTTGTCTGTCAATTATAGCTACCTAGAATATCAATCGTAGCTTCATGCATTCCATTATTAGAATGCAATTACCTATAATTTTCTCCCAAAATTGTTTTAATTGTTGTCATGGCAATAACTGACATTCTCAAATATTCCCTCTCAAAGTGGATGAAAGATGTCAACGACTTCAAGTTTGCTCAAAATATTTTTGAATGGAGGACTGTAAAAACCTTTGGTGAATATATCGACAAATTGATTGCCTTTTAGAAAATAAGGAGTATAATTAAAATGTCTTATGTTTTCTTTTATGAAATATATGTGACCTCCACATGTTTGGTTTAATCATATCATACTAGATTGTGGGCAATGTTAATTACAAACTTGCTGTCACCACATAACCTTATAGATCCTTCACATTTAGCTATAGATCTTTTAGTATAATTTTGAACCACAAAAATTCACAGATACCTTTATCAATAGCTATAAACTCCGATTTTACAATTAATCTTGAGAACACTTTTTTTTTTACTCCATGTTACACAATTTTATCCAAAGAATGTGTTCTTTTCTACCTGCCAGAGATCCCGCAAAGTCAGCATTAATATAGCCTTTTAGCTTTAAATTTTCATGTCTTTTATAGAAAGTTCATTTTTCAAGGTTAGATTTTAAATACTTGTAGACTCTATAGGCCGACTGAAGGAGAGATCCATTTGGCTTATGTATGAATTGATTTACGAGGCTTAACCACAAATGCAATATATGAACGAGTATTGGTTAGGTATAGTAGTTTTCTAAGTAATTGTTGATATTATCTTTTGTTGACTTCGGTTCCTTCTTCATCAGTATCTAGTTTATGGACTTATTTTATAAGAGCTTACACGAGTTACAATCTACTGTAGTCATATCTCTTAATAGGTAAATGATATATTCCTCTTGTGAGAAAAATATCATTTTTTTATTAAGACATTTCTACGTCAATGAGCATTTAAAAATGGAGTTTTTATCTTAAATGTTGTACTAAGTTTATTCCTGAATAATTGTTTTTCTTCGGCATCATCACCTGTAACAATTATATTATCAAAATATACAATAAAAATTACAAGAGTATTTCATAAAGAGTATGTTCTTCCTGGCTTTGTCAATATCCCGTCCCATTCATCACTTTTGTGAATTTTCCAAACCACATCCTTGAAGATTGCTTTAATCCATGCACCGCCTTCTTTTAGTTTGCATACTTCATTTTTTTTATAATGAGTAATTGAATCTTCATCAGTATCTAGTTGTCGTATAAAAAAGCATTTTCACACCATATCGTTACAATCTAAAATTAAGAACTAAAAAATAAAAAAATGAATAATATTTACTTTAGCAACAAGAGAAAATGATTCTTAGCAGCCTATTGCATAATATTCAGTATAATATTTTGCTACTAATCTAACTTTATATTTTTCTAGGCTCCCATCAGCTTTATATTTTGATGTAAAAAATTCATTTACATCTTACAATCACTTTTTCCTTAAAGCAACTCAACTATCTCCCGAATGTGGTTCTTTTTTAGGTTGTTCATCTATTCTCTCATGACTTTCTTCTTATTCTTCTTTCCTAATGCCTCCTAATGCCTCAAACAAGATTAGCAGTATTATAATGATATTAATTTTTATAAGAGAGGCATTATGTGCATAGAGAAGTTTTCAGAGTATCAAGTTATTAGACAATGAATGTTCAGTATCTTTTCATAAAGCAATAGGTTGATCAAGATCATTATTAGGAGATGTGGAAGGTTACTAGATACTGATTCCAAGTCTTGAACTTAGCAAGGGAGTTTTGATAGGATTTATCCTTCTTTTATGAACTTGGAGCGGTTTAGTAACCAAAATGTTAATCTTAGAGGGATCAAGCTATTGTAATTCATGTGTATTAATAGGCTAAATAGTCAAGGGGAAAAGACATTGAGTTCATCAGAATTATCTTCTATTTCACTATTCAGCCCCTTTTTTTTCACTATTCAGCCCTTGAAGATATGCATGATTAAAGAAAGGTTACTTCAACTAAATATTACAACCTTTAATATGAGGACTTTTCTAGTAGTTGGAAGATACTGTGTGAATATCCTAAGAAAATACACATAAATGTTATAGGGTCTAATTTATCCAATGTAGTTTATGAATGTGTACATAAGATGACAAAATATGTTAGAAGGAATTTTTGTGAATAAATTATTCATAGAAAAAAAAAATTAGAGAGGTAGCTTACAGGACGTTTAAAATCAATCACTTTTGAAGGTATTCTAATAATCAACTATGTCGACATTTGAATAACTTAAACATCCTTGAGAACCTGATTTTGGAAGAAAGGAACCTTCATAATCTCAAAAAGAAGTTTATTTTTTCTTTCAACTGCCCCATTTTGTTGTGGGCTATCAGGATGAGTATTAGTGAATAATGCCTTTCTTTATCTAGGGGCATTCTTACTCCTGAATGTTTTAATATCAAACATTATTTTTCCTAAACTTTTTAATATTAACACCAAATTGATTTTCTATTATTATTATAACAAAGGTGTGCAGAATATACATATTTTTGTTTCATAAGATAAATCAATGTCATTAGAGTAAAACCATATCAATGAGATTTTCAAGGATCCTCAAATATCACAATAGATTAACAGAAATTGAGTACATCAAGATTCACTCAAAGGAAAGAATGCCCTATGACATCTAGCACTTGTAGAAGTTTCATAATGAAAATTTTCAATGTTAACATTTTTTAATAAGGAGGATAACACAAATTTGAGAATTTTAAAAGATGAATATCATAATCTTTAATGATAAAACTGACGGATAAAAACATGCATAAAGAAAAAAGATGAATAATTGTTGCAATTGTTGTTATCATTAAGTAAACATAGCTCGTCTTTTTCTTTCTCTAGCTTGTCCAATCATCTTCCCGATAATTAGGTCATGAAAAGCATAATGATCAATAAAAAATATCTTGTAGCTTTGATATTGGGTTATTTAAAGAATAGATAAAACAATTATAATAAGATGGGGAACATGTAGAACATTATTGCGGGTGAGAAGGAGAACAGTATTATCCCCTTGTCTTGCAGTGATGGCTATGAAGTCATTGACCACTTTGATCAATTTATTGCTAGGACATGGTTGGTAGGTTTTGAAAATATTAATTGAATGTGTCATGTGGTCAATGGCACCCAATTACTCAGATATTGGAGGAACTATTTGAGGTATTAAAAACACAAGATTAGAAACTTCACCATTTTTTACTATAAAGCAAGAAACAGATGACCTTTCTAGAGAATTGAGAAGGTTCTTTAGCATCTCAATTTCTCCCGAACTTTGTCATCCAATCACTATGAAATTAGCATGTCCTTTTGATTGACTTTTTGAGGATCCACTATGCCTTGAGATCTAAAAAAGAACTTCCACAAGCCACTCTTCTTGTAGTAGTTGCACCATAAGTTGGCATTTTGGTGGAATTTTTGTCCTTCATTTTTAGAATGGTAGTGGTAGTCAATCCTTCACCTTGAGTGTTTGTGCTTGTCATTGCTAACCCTTATGAGTTAGGTGTTTTCAACATTGCAATCATTCTTTCTTCTTGTAATAGTTGCACCATAAGTTGGCAGTTTGGTGGATTTTTTGTCCTTCATTTTTGGAAATGCCAGTGGTAATCAATCCTTTATCTTGAGTGTTTATGCTTGTCATTTCTAACCCTTATGAGTTAGGTGTCTTCAAAATTACAATCATTATTTCTTCTTCAGTTTGAAGTCCAAACAAGGAATAAGCTTTATTACGAGAGAGCGTGATGTCCTGGCCCTTGCCCAAGATTTTAATACAAACTTATCAAATTATATAGTATGTCTAGCAAGAAACTCAATAATCATTTTTCTTTCTACATATTCTTTCAGAATCACAATATCACTACTATATTTTATCTTAAGATCTAGGTAGTAATCTAACTCTAACAATAAAACCTTCATTGCTTTGAAACATTCAATGACAGATAGAACTTGCTTTGTGATTAAGAGTTTTCTCATAACTTTATAAATGAGAGCATCATCATTGACCTTTGGCTAATATTAATATCACAAGATGCCAGACTTCATATGATGTTGTGAGGAATATATAAAGCCTATGAATTTTGGGCAACATAGAATTTCACAATCATGGCATGATCATGGAATCTCCTTCATATCACTCTATGAACTTTGGATAATCAAGATCCAGGAAATATCCTAGAGTTTCCATTTTTCTTTCAAAAAAGTCTTTCTTAATCTAAAGACTAATTTAGATAATTTATTCCAATCAGCCAATGTAAGATTTGTAATCCCTGGAATTCTCCTTTGATTGAATTAGTTTAGTTCATATCCTTCATGATGGTTGATACTCTCATAGAGTTTGAATTCTCTGACATGGAGAAGAAAAAACGGAATTAAGACAAAAAAATGAGCCATCAGAAATTGGGGCCCTAACCTAGAGCTCTAATAACATGTAGAAAATAGGAGAATGACAAATTCGTGCTTGCATTATTGTCATTCAAAGAGTGTTTATACATAGAGATATATAAACATCTATTGAAAGAGTAAAAACTACAATAAAAAAATATATATATTTCCTAAAGCTCCAAGAATCCTTATGCTCCAGATTTCAGTCTCTGAAGCCAATTGCCATTGATCCGTGGGCCTCTTCCTCCATATTTTGTTGTCAACCAAATACAATTAATTGGACCTCTAATCATAGCTTCATACCTCACATCTCTAGCATGCAATTACTCAAACTTTCCTCATAAAATTGTTTCTATTGCTGTCATGGCAGCAACAGAAATTCACCAACACAATCGTATTATATGTAACTCATTTCTCTATAACAGCTATTTTTCGAGAATATAATGCCAACTATTTCAAAAAAAGAAAAGGGAAAAGATGACAGTTCAGCCATCATTTGACCAATGCATATAAAAGGTCAGCATAAAGATCCGTTAATGCTATACATCCTACTTTAATGGCATCATTTGATATTTTTTCATAGTTTTCAATCAGATGTATATTCAGCAACACCAAATAGCATATCCTAAAAATTATGAAAGAAAATTTTTAATTATGATTACACAATCAGAAACCAGTGAAAAAATTATTCCATTAAAAAGTGAAAAAACTTGATCATTGCAAACCTGAGTGATCTGAAAAAAATTTCAAGTAAACTCAGGGTCAAAATAGATGCTGAAAACTGCCCTACTATATTAAAAAGATAAACAAAATTAAATATCCAACTTAAACAGGGAGATGATATCTAAATCAGAAGTTGAGATAAATAAGAATTATGTTACTGAACACCAGCTCTAAAGCAATGAATCAAGAATGCATGCACATATAATAAATCCATCAACTTAAGTCAAAATTCGAAAGACTGATAATGGTTCACTGCTTTCAAATTTATGCCTTACTTTTATTGGATTTTCAGGAGCTTTTGAAGAGCTACGGTTCTTCTGTCTGACAAAAATCTGCAACAAAACATAGATCTAGTGATGAAATTTGCATTATAAATTATGAAAAAGTAAATACATCCTATATATACAAAAACCTAAGTGAAGTTGCTTTACAAGTCATTTATCACCCGCAAAAAATATCTTGCATGCACGTAAAATATATTGAAAAAAGCTCCAGAGAGAGAACTGTGGATCCTGTAGCTTACGATATCGGACATGAACCACATAATGTTATTGGTGTTGTCCCATCTTAGTAGGCAAAGATGCTGTCAGTTGCTTAAGCAAAAGGAACTTTAATGTTCAACTACAATGGAACGCATTTACATTCCTTCAATGCATCACCTTCACTTATTTTAGCTTTTAGCTGTCTATATTTGCTTCAAGTGATTTTGATCTTCTTTGGGCCTTCTTAATTTGATTAGAGGAAAAATGAATGCAGTAAGGGATTAGCATGCTTAAGTGTGCACATGCAAATGTACACAAACACACATGCATGCACATATTAAGGTGCATCCATACACAAATGTCCCACATAAGCGCACATTACATATATTACATGTTTAAACGAGTACATGCAAAGACACACAAACCCAAATTCATGCACACATAAAGATCATATAAAAAACATATCCACACATGAACTCAAACTACAGATACAAACACCAATTTAGGATACGAAATCAAATATGAATGCAATACCCAAAAAATAGATGCACGCTGCATACATAGATCAATAGGCACATGAAAATAAGCCGAAACAGATACAATTTATTGCAAAAATACTTGAACAAGATTGGCAAAAACTAGGAACCCAACAATGAAATGAATAATGTAGAAAACAACAGTTTGTTCAACATTTTGAGGGGAAAAACTAGCTCTAGATTTAAGCAAACCATAATAAAGCTCAAATAAAATAAAATAAAAAATTTTGACTCCAAAAAAATTATGAATGAAGTAGAATAAAATAGAGTAAAATACTAGGAAAAAACAGCAAAAATAAACTTTAATGTAAAAAACGATATGCAACATTATTAGGCTTAAAAGTGGTTGACAAAGGAAATAACCTGATGAGTAGATTTACACGGAAGAAAGTGCTGTTGTATTGCCAACCAATCATTGTTGTGCTCCATTATTCCCATAGCTAACAAACTGCATTATATTTACATAAACAGTGAAGATAGAGGATTCCACAATATATACCAATTAAAAAGTGTTATACAGTAAACATCCAATACTAGTATACAAAATGAAGGATTCAATTATGAGGCTCACTTTTTTGGATAGGATAAAAAATTTCCACTGAATGCCTACCATAATAGAAGAAGCAAGAGAAGCTTGAAGAAACCTTGACAAAATATGGTTGTATATATTGCAAGAAAATGTGAACAGCGCTTATTAAAACCTCAAGCTCTGAGCCCGAAAGGATTAAATAAAAATAATTACCAGCATATACATAAATGAAACACGTTAATAATTCTGTTCTTGGCACATCCAACTTTCATAGAGCCTTTTTCATAACCATTATACATCGGCAAATGCCACTTCTCTTCTAAAATAACGACATCTAGATCAGCAGTAACTACATAAGCACTATAAATTGGACATAAAAACAATATAAAAAGAGTTTAAATATAAAAAAAATCTAAATAAAATAGCGCAAAGCAGCCTATCATATAAATGATATGACGACAATTTTCAAAATAAGAATAACAATAGCCAAATAAATGATGTAATGACAGTTTAAAACATGCCAGAAAATTTGGGCATAAATTATTAAGGTATAAGAAACGAATAAGTTTTGCATAGTGCAACCACCTTATTATTGGCATATACAAAGAAGTTAAACACATAATTAGTTCTAATAGATACATGCCGAATTGTATGATAAGTACGCACCCATCTTCTGCATCTGTGAATAGCACACGATTTGCAACAGCTGGTGTTGGAGGCTTATGAGGAAAAAGTGCTGCATTAAATAAGTGAAGAAACCTCTGTGCCAACTTAGCAATATCAGCAGGAACAAGAGCAACCGACTGTTTCATGGTACTCTCCACAAGCGTAGCAGCCAGTGATTTCTTAGGTTGTTGTTGACCAGATTGGAGTGGGCAAGATGAACTGGGTAAAACGGTTGTCAGTGTTGAAATGGATTCTCCTGGAAAGTTGCTGCCTGCATTATCTAGAGAGGCTGAAATTGGTAGGGAAAAAAGAGGCTCTTTACACGAATGACTCTTTATAGTACCATGTTCCAAGCAACTCTGTCTGTGCATTGATACGGCTGCCAAGTCAATAAAAAACTAATATTAAACACATAGTATAAACAAGAAGCATTGTGCTTAAAATTAAAACTGCTGGGAATCCAACTAGTCACCAACTTTCTTTAACATCGGCCAAGTAATTCTTAGCTAGCCGAAGCGGAGCTAGATCAAGAATCGACAAAACAGTGTTATTATCAATTACAGGTGTCCATGAACAACTAGCACTTTGATTTGAATCAACTTGTACCGAGGAATGAAGATTTGAAGATTGAAAACAGAACATAGGATAAGGAATCTTCCTCCAGGACAGTGACATTTCATGTCTTTCAATCATTTCTGATATCAACTTCCGCAAATCATTGGCAACTTGCTGTCTTGAAGGATCAAGAACACAAACAGAGAAAACTTGGAGAAGAAGTTGAACATGTTCATGTATTAAACAGTATAGCTGTCCGATTTGGCAAGCTGTAAACCCATTGATAAGTTCAGTACCAGAAACAGATGCAGAGCAATGAGAAAAAGAATTAGGTGAAGGCATCTTCCATGCAAAAGAAGGAACATGAGATCTTTGTAAATCGGACACATATGGCAATATAGGACGTAATGTAGCCTTAGAAGATTGTCCCAACAGAAACTTCTTGCTTTTTGCAAACTCCTTTAGTCGTTTCTTTTGTCTGGTCTCTGGAACATATGCCTCTCCATATTGCTTTCCGCTATGTTCTGTGCTACAGCCAGTGGCTTCCTCAACATCACTCTCAAGCGCTTCTTCAAGTTCAACTTCAAAGTCAGCATCATTTTCTTCATCTTCATCAAAAGCTCTCTCTCCTTGACCTGCTTGCTCTTTTCCATCTCCTTCCAAAAGAACAGCAGCAAGAAATTTGTGGTATTCTTCTTCCTCGTCAACATTATGAAGGTCATCATCATCATCTGACTCTTGAAGGAATGTCTCTAGTTCTTCAAGCGTGTAGTTTGCAAGTGAGTGTCGAGCCCTGGTACGCCTGCAAATAGCATCATCATTATCATGCACAATATGCTCATTGATGTTTTCTTGATTGGAAGTCACATCAAGCACATTTTTCTTTGAAGGAACACTAGCACCATCACTTCCATTCACAGCAGAAATTTCCTTAATATAAGTCAGCATTTGTAGCTGTTTGATTGATTTCCCAGCAGCATCATCAAATTGCATTATAGATTCCTCAACCTCATCTAAGGATCCTTGGCTACAGATATATGTCTTCTCCTCAAGTCTTGTAGATGAAGAGCTGAGTTTTCCATCTGAAGAGCTTTGGATACGTTTACAAACATCATCACATGGCCCTTCATTTTCAGAACTCAAACTAGAAGAGGCTTCTGAAGGTGTTTCTCCTCTCAAAAGCGGATTGAAGTCCAGGTCATCCTCTTCTTCATCCTCCTGAGCTTCTATATGCATATTATCACCCATCACCACAATGCTTTCAGCTAAAAAGTTTAGGTTGAACTGATTACGATGCCCTGCAAATTTATGGTGGCAACTATATTATATTACATCACCGGAGTCATCTTAAAAACCACAAAAAGAAGAATAATTATCAAGGAATACAAAAAAAATTATTCTACAAACAAGTAAAAGCTCAAAATATTCCACCGACTATTAATAAATGTCTAATTTAGCCCCAGAGTTTTGCATTGCCCCAATTTAGTGTCTAAACTACTAAAATTGATCTAATTTAGTCTCAAAACCTAAAGTAAGAGTTAAGGTTAACTCCAAAGTTAAATATGAAGGATATATTAGGTATTACAAGTGGATATGAGATTACATTGTTTATATTGCTCTATTTTAGTATTTAATAAATTATAATACATATTTAATCTACAACATTATAATGGTGATGGTGAATAAATAATGAAAAATTTTATATTTTATGTAAATCTCAAGAGGGCTCCTAAGCAAATAAATAGATCATACAACAATAAAGAAACAACACTAAATAATCATTCACCTGCCAATATCTAATCTCCAAATACTAACTATATTTTACCCTCTGTTTTAGTGTCAGAATCTTCAATGATTGCATAAAACGATGTGTTAAGCAGTTGTGAATTCCATATGATTTTTTAAACGACTGTCTCAATTTAATTTATACTTTAGAAACAAATCTTGACAATTAAATTTCAAGAGGGCTCTAAGCAGATAAACAGATAATATAGCAAACCTAGTTGTATTTAAACTTAATTTTAATGCATATATTATTATATTTTATCATTTCATATATTATAGTATATATTTGATATGCAGACATAATAAGCGTGAATAAATAATGAAAAAAAAAAATTATAATCTCGTGAGGGCTCTAAGCAGATAAATAGATCATACAACAATAAAGAAACGATATAAAATCATCATTCACCCACCAATATCTAATCTCTAAATACTAACAATATATTACCCTCTATTTCAGTACCTGAATCTTCAATGATAGCATAAAGCGCTATGTTAAACAGCTGTGAATTTGATATGATTTGTTAAACGTGTTAAATGACATAAACATTTTTAAATTCAATATGCTTTGTTAAACAGCTATGTCTCAATTTATTTTATACTTTAGAAACTATTCTAGACAATTAAATCTCAAGAGGGCTTTAAGTAGATAAACATATCATACAACAAGCCTAGTTTGTTTAAACTAGATTTTAAAAGATAAATAGCAAAGCTAGCTGTGTCTCTGTCTCCTTGTGGATGTCGCGCATTGCTCACCGTCTCAATATCACGATGTCAAAGCTCATCGTGATCGCTCGCAACAACTGGCGTCTAGATGCCGAAGCGTGTCGTTTCGCTTGAAGGGTATCTCGCTCGCAGCAGCACGCGTCATCTCGCTCGCTGCAGCACTCGTCATCTCGCTCGCCACAGCATGTATCTCACTCGCAACCACATGCAACTTTGGATGTCAAATCAAAGCACCTCGACTCGCTCGTAGAGCATCTCACTCGTGGCTTGCTCGCAACATGTCATCTTCCTCGCAGCTTCTCACTCGCACAATTAGGTCTTCGGTTCTGCATACAGGGCTTACAGCATGAAGGCGAGCATGTAACAAGTATTTTTACTAAAATACCATGATGAAGCGACAAATCTAACTGATGGACCAAATTGGATAATTTTTAATAGTTGGGGACTAAATTGAGGCAATGCAAAATTCTGAGACTAATTTGAGTATTTATCAATAGTCGGGGACTATTTTGAGTATTTACACTTTTACAAACAAATTCCAAAAAGTAGTACATGTTTCAAAATATAAGCTCATGAAAGCAATAATTATTGCACTCAAAGAAAAATTTAGTGTGCAAAAAATAAGTACATACATGCATAAATTCGATACATGACAAAGAAATAAATAAAAACAATAAAATCATTGTTGACCACTACAACAAAACGCGTGAAAGGAACGAAAACAGCAATTCAAGTGACAGTCGACGGGCGCAGTGAGTCACTTGAAGGGTCAAATGACCACTAATCCCCAAAAGGATCGCGTCGTTGTGATCAAAATGTCGAATTCACCAGAGAGGGACCTCCTCGCATTCGAATCGAGCAAGAACGATCGAAATCGACGACCGACATCCAAAATTGACACGCGACGCCCAAATGAGGACCGGTAGCAAAACAGACTTCATCATCGCGTTCAAAACATCGACAATACCTAAAGTTGACTGAAATTTAACCCAATGAAATTTGTACGAGGAAATCGACATGTTTTCCAAGGCGAAGAAAAAAAAAAAGCACAGATTTCGAGGCAGGAATACATAAGCCGAGATAATGGCCCGTTGACTTCTGTTATTTAATGATAATAATAATATTATTATTATTCAAAATAACAATATCAAAATCAATCGAATACCTCTTATCACCGTGAACTCTGTTTGAATCCCTGATATCCTGGCTGCGTCTACTCCCAAAATTTCTGCATAAATCGAGGTCTCGATCATAGTTGCTCTCGTCATTAAAATGAAACTAAAAGAGCATCACTCATTTTTCTTTGCTTCATTGCTCGAGCGAAAAGAACCGACACTCAAACGACCTCTCAATCGTTTGCTCTTTCACTGCCTTCAACATCTCAGCCTTCCAATCCATCTACAAGTGCTAAACTATAGACCCCTACCGTGATTCCAATCCCGATCACGACCCACACCTCCTTAGTCTCTACCCACATAGCCCGAAGCCGCGGGCCACCTCTAAATCGTGTCTCTGCTATCTGAACTCCCTCATTCAGTCGCTCACAGCCAAAACTACATGCAGCTGCCATTCATCCCTTTACACAGTCCCGACTAACAGTCGATCGGTGGCTTCAATCTGTCGATCTTCCTGTAGCTTCAACCCTTTGCTTCCTTCCACAGCTGAAAGCGTGCGCGCATCACGAAATTGACATGCCTCCTCCGATTCTGCCTAAACCATCCGATTTGAGAACCCTCTACTCGATAACACTCATGTTTCCTCTGCTCAATCCGACGCCTGCAACCAAGCACTCCTCCAGCATCCAACGCAAGCTAGAGCCGAACCCAGCTGCACCCTTGCCCAGTCCGGTCTTCACAATACTCTGCCCGATCGGCCCTCTCAGCCATATTCCAATCTCCCTTTCCGTCTACACGTTGAACCCAAGACCCACATAGCATCCTCCTCACAGGCAACCGATCCCGATCTGTTTCATTTGTTGACCCAACTTCTAGCCACTATAGCCCGATCTCATATCCCAAACCTTCCCTACCCGTCTCCCTCCCTATTGAAATTGAGACTCACAATTCTACCCAACTTCATTCAAACCCATGAACTCAGCCCTTTACAATATCCCCCAGCTACAACAACTCACAAATACAACCTTACACTCACCTCAACATCAACCCCCTTCCTATCAAGCCCACAACCCACCGAAGTAGCCAGATCATACTCCAACAACCAGCTCTTACCAATTCCGACTCAACCCAAGCCCAAATCCACATTACTTAATCCATTTCTCAACAGCCCACTCAAAATCAGCCCTTTTCTCTAAGTCCTCTCTCTCTAATATTATTAATATTATTATTATTATTAATTAGTAATATTAATATCATAATTATTATTAATTATTATTACTAAGTAATATTATTATTTATTAGTGCTATTATTCTTACCGTCCAAAAAAAGAGAATAATAAGAAAAGAAAAAGAAAAGGTTTTTTTGTTTTTTTTTTTCTACGGCACCGCCGCCTTGACACCATCGCTCTTGTCGTCATCACTCACTCGGGTATAAATAGTTCTTAAACTCAAAAAGCCTCCAAATCCCGTTTTCAACACTCACAGCACACCAGAAAATCACCTATACACGTTTTTTCTAGTATTATGAGAAGGAACCCGGTGCGACGCTCGCAACGAGGCTGGTAAGCCTTGTATACGCTTCTCTCTAGCGTGGCAAGGATAACCCTAAGTGCCAATGTATGTGTCGTCTTGCCTGCGGGGAAAGAATAGTGCATTTCAAATAAATGCTCCCGAAGACCCATACACGCCTTTCTCTGGCATGGCGGGATTGAAGACTATGGCCGAGATGTTGCTCGACACTGACCATACATGTCTTTCTCAGATGTGGCGGGCAGGTTAAGACTCTCAAAATTTCCCCTAAACATGACAGTGAATGTAAGGAAATCCTTATTTTTATTATGATGCACAGACACGGGCACGACAACACGGACACATCACAACACGTACATGGGACACGACTATTTTTGAAAATATATAACACATATACATTGCTCACACGACATTATAATTTTGTTATATAGTGTATAGAAATAAATGTAATATCATATTAGAAATGACAAACAATAATAAATCAATATCATAATAACTTGTCTAGATTATAATATAAAATGTTTAGTACAAAATGTCTATTATAACCACAAAAATATAAGTTAAAAAACATTTAGTACAACATCAAGCTTCAACTACTCAGTAAAGGGAATAATAATATTAGATGTAGAGGTTTGTCCTTGGCCTTTAGTATCATCATCAAAAGTTTTACCTAACTTTGTAACATTATTCCATAAGGGCTTAATGGCTTCTACAGAAGTCTCTGTTGAACCATCGTCACTTCCAATTCCACCACCACTACAGCTCATTTTGCTTTTAAAAAATTGATGGAATGAAGAAATAAAGTCTTAGCATTAGCCAACCATATGCAAACAAATATACAATTTTCCTCAGAATAAAACTCAATACACAATCTAACCTATTCCAACTTCTTTTTCAGCATGAATTCGTGATCACAAATAGGAGCAACAGTGCTCATGGCGTAATAAGTTAAGTCAATAGTAAAGTTTATATCTTAAATATGTAAATAAACAAATTATATGTATCATGTATATAAATACCCCTTAAATGTGATATATATATATTGCATAGAACATAGAATGAACATAATAGTTGTTAAGTAATTATATATACTTCTTGAAAAACCTAGTAACAATAGCCCGTCTTAAATTAACCTATCACTGAAGTACTAAACTATAGCACATTTCAGATGCAAAAAGGTTTGAATAGTTGCTTGCAAAAAAACTCAAATTATTTACCATCGAATAGTTGCTTGCAAAAATAAAGAAGCCGGGAAAGTATTGAGCTTCAAATCAAGCCGGACGTATCGAGCTTCAAATCGACTGCTCGACTGGTCTCACCTCGAAATGACGAAGAGTCGAAGAGAAGCAGAACTGTGTAGTTGGTCATGGCTCTCCGCTGGACTTGCATGCCTAGCCGCATAAACGAAGAAGACGAGGGGTTCGACTGTTGCGTAAATGAACAAGACGAGGGGCTACCCTGATCGCGTAAATCAAGAAGATGAGGGGCTCTCCTGGTCTCGTAAGCAAAGAAGACGAGGGAAACGGCTCATCAAAATAAAACCCTAGACCATCCGGGCGTGTAAATACCCTAAATAAGCCTTCTTACGCGTTATGTTTCATTACGATATTATGGGAATATCAAAAAAGTTAAAATTTTGTAATTTAAAAAAATTTAGGGATTTTTATCTACCTAGCACTTAAAACAAATCTATTTACCTATTTAACACCTAAACTTTCTTATTTACCAATATACCACCTTAAAACCCTTACCCTCATCAAAAATAACATTCTGTCACCTTCCGTCAACACCAAACCACGAAAGAGGGCGGGAACCCCTAACTCGAGCAGAGCAGCTTCCTCTCTCGAGTTGAATCGCACAGTACACGAATCCCACTCACTCGTCTTCTGCTTTCGCGAATCTATCCTCTTGGCGTCTTCTCCAGCTAGTACAACACAGGCATTTCTTTTGTTTGAATCACACAGTTCACGAATCCCACCCGCTCTTCTTCTCCTTTTATGAATCTATCTGCATGGCATCTTCTCCAGCTAGTGGCGACACATGCATTCCTTTTCTTTACGTATTTTATTCACTTACTATTCAACCTAGAACAGAAAGGCGAGATTAATAGATCGAAGGAGGAAGTCTTCTGCTTGGCATCTTCTCCACTTGTTGAATCAGTGTCAAATTTTTACAGTAGAGAAAAAATAGGTTTTGTAGAATCAGCGACAAAATAAAGAAAAGAAAAAGCCTCTATGGCCAACCCGAAACTGCAGCACCTTTTGATTCCTCTGCAGCTCTAACTAATATATGTTCTGCTTTTATCAATATGTAGCATTTATTTCCTTTGCAACTTGGCGTCTTCTCCAGCTAGTGGCGAGAAAGCTCCAAATATTTAAAGCTTATTGCTCTACACTGCTTTTACTAATATGCTTTCTATTTTACCTTGGGTTTAATCTGAATCGTTTACTTTAAATCAGATAAGAGAAATGTAGACTTATTCTCTTGAGTTATACCTACATTTACTCATGTATTGTATTCATCTACATTAAGTTTTACATATGTTAACTTATCTTCTTTAGCTACTGTCTTCTTCTCCAAAGCATCTACAGTAAATGTATTTTATCATTTATAACTGATTGATACAATTTTTAATTTTATTTACATGTGGAGTGCAACAATGTATGCTCTATTGTCTTCAAGGTCTGCATTGATGGTTTCTTTGCAGGTTGTAGATATTTAATCAGCATAGATGCTTGTCATCTAAAATCAAAATATTTAGGTGTGCTCCTTTCCGCTAATTGTTTGGATGGAAACAATGATCACTTTAATATTGCATTTGTCGTTGCTGAATCTGAATCAAAGAAAAGTAGGAAGTGGTTTTTGATGAATTTGTCCCAAGCTTTTAATGTTGATATAGAACATTTAGCATTCATATCAGATATGGAGAATGGGATTGGTGAAGCAATTAAATCTGTCTTTTCTAATGTCGAGCACAGAGTTTGTATGAGACACCTTTGGAAAAATATTAAAAAACTTTTTCACTGTGATGATAGCCACAATTTGCAAAAATTGGTGTGGACCGCCACAAATTGTTATAGCTTACATGAGTTCAATTCTAAGCGGCAACAAATATTTAACATTAGTCCACAAGTTCATTCCTACCTAACACAAATTGTGTTGTATACAATTTTATTGCAAACAAGTTTATACCAAATCTTTGTGCTCAGCATTAGGAAAGACATTCTTCATTTCATTTTTTAACTGCTAATAAAAAATGGAATTTTTTTTCCTTATTATACCTCCCAAACAAAAGTATAAATCCATTTTTTTCTTTTCTTCCCTCAACTTCCAATCTGTATATAAGAACTAATTATCACGTAAACAAGGCAGGAATGAACTTCAATCAAAAATCTCAAACCATAAATCCTCCAATTTTTTTTAATAGACATATCACAAACCAATTTATATTTCATCAAAACAAAAACAGAGAAAGAAATTCCACCATTAATCTCATGGTAAGTTAAATCCCCATTTTACGGCATTTTCCACATTTTTTTCCAAAATCCCCGATTTAATAAATCAGATAGCTCGGCGGATTTACGGGATTTGGTCTAATAAGCGCTCGAAAGGTTTGAAAGATAGTTACCGTCGCGGCGAGCTCCGTCGTGACTTCCAATTCGACAGGAATAAAGGGGGCGAAGCAGCTTCCTTTAGCAATTCTTTCGAAACTGTACCTCACATCGAAGCACGCGAAGCCGAAGCAGAACGGAGACATGGAGACGAGGAAAAGCAAACCACGGGGCTGTTTGGCAACAGGATTTAAGCCAAATCCTGCCAAACGGGATTTGAGCGCCCGCTAAGGGGCTGTTTGGTATGTGGATTTAAGGCCGGATTTGGGCGAAATCCAGCCAAACGGCCTAAAATGCAAATCCAAATCTCACGGCAAACGAAATCCTCCGTAGACGGAAAATTCCGCCGATTCGCTCTAAATCCCGGATTTCCGAAATCCTTTGGTTCGGCGGATTTACGGGATTTGGCCGAAGAAGCGCGCGAAAGGGAGAAAGTTACCTTCACAGCAAGCGAGCTCCCGTTGTTGCTTCAGATAAAAAAATGTCGTAACTTCCGATCCAACAGGAAGGTAATGTAGTCGAAGGAGCAAAGTCGAACAGCCACGATGAAGAACTCTTGAAAATTTTAGGTGAGAAGGAACAAAGCCGAACGAAATACAGGAGGAAAAAGTAAAACCTAGAAACTTCTAAAGTTCTAATTGACTAATTGTTGAATAATTTAATTAATATAATTTAAAATATTAATAATTAAGTAAAATTTATTAAATAATATTTAAATAATTGATAAAATTATTAGTTAAATACTTAGTTATTTCAAAATAATTAATAGGATTAAATATGATCTAAAATAAAAAAAATTATTATAAAGACAGAAAAGGAACGTCGACGAAGCAAGTTGCAGCGAAGTCGAACAACAACGACGAAATAGAGAAAAAGCAAAACCTAGACGCCTCATACGCTCGACTATGGGACGAAATTAATCTACTTTTAAGTATTTAACTAATATAATTTAAAATATTAATAATTAAGTATATTAACTAAATAATAGTAGTATTATTAGTGATTAAAAATTAATATAATTAGCTTACTTAATATAATTTGAAATAGAAAATATTCATTATATAATTAACACTATAAATAATAATTAAATAAATAATGAGTAATAGAATAGTTAAGTAATTAATGATATACTTATTAGTATAATTTTTAATTAAAATTAATTAAAAATACTTACTAAATTAATTAAATTTTTAGTAGGATTTATTAGTTAAATAATTAATTATTTCAAGATAACAATTACTAATTAATTAGAAAATTATCAATATATCATTATAATATTGACGGTAATTAAAATTGAAATTAATAATTAATTCGTACTTAACACATCAGTTAAATTCAAAACAGATTAAATTTAATTTTTAAATAAACGAACCAACTTAAACCCTAGATTACATTACCAAACATTTTAATAGGATTTAATAGGAAAAGTGCACATGACCACTTTTATAAAATAAAAAAACAGTTTTAAATAGAATAAATAAATAAATAAATAAACAGGATTTAATAATTATGTTGTGAAACAATTTTTAGGATTTAACATGTCAAGATTTACTTAATTCGAATTTACAGAATTTAGTTGATCCTACTAAAATTAAATCATATTTGTTGCAAAACAGCGCTCCAAATTAGCGCTGCTGTGTTTTGAGATAGACCTGATAGTTTTATTTCTCATTTTTTTCAAGGTTCGGATCCCTTGATGGTATATAGAGATTTTCGTCTTTTTGTTTAGTGTGTAAGAACAGTCTAAAAGAATATAGAAAGAGAGATTAGTATCTATTTCTCCCAAATTTATTAGTATATTTTTGGTTTGGGGTGGTGTGGCTTTTGTTTTTTTTTTTTTTTTTTTTTTCCAAATTTCAGATTTTTCCACCTTAAATCATGATCCTTTACTTTTCTTATGCATTGTATTTTTTCATGTTTGTTTCATTGCGTGATTTACTTTCACATCCCAACTAACTATGGTTCTCCAACCTTGGCCACTCGACTATGGTCTTTCATCCATCATGATCCAACTATTGTACTCTAACTATCGTATACCGACTATAATCCTTCAGCCACCATACGCCAACGATGGTCCTCCAACCACCATTACGTAATTAAGGTCGAATGGCCATAATCATGAACTTTGATCTTTTAATCACCATCATCTGACTATAATCCTCTAAACTTCAATGCTTAACTATAACCCTCCAATCACTATTATTTGAATACTCTTCACTGACCTCTATAACTCATCTTAAATTGTCATTGGCGATCTTGAATCAAGATGACAAGATCAGCCTGGCCGGGAACTTTTATTTGTAGCTTCTTACACTCACAAAGTTTTTCAAACTATAATATACATTAGCATGTGAGAAAACTATTACATATTCACATGCAAAATTTCTCTAACCAAATCAAACAATTTTTTTTGGAACGGTTTTCTTATTGCTTCTTAAAATAGCTTTTTAGTATAAAAATTCTAGAATTCTATTTTAGGCTTCATTTGGGGCAGCTTTTTTATTGCTTATTAAAACAATTATTTAGTACAAAATTTTTAATTTTTTAACTAGAAAATAACTTTAAGAAGCAATAAGAAAGCCTACCAAATGCAGCCTTGATAAGCAATAAGAAAGTTGTTCGAAACGAAGCTCTTAATTAGTACTTTCAAAACACCCTTTAAAATTTAAAAATAAAAAGTTCAGATCTATCAATGAGAAGAGAAAAAAAACAAAAAAGTACTCAGCTTTATAAAAAACATTTTCCATCTATAAATCAACCAATTGAATCGATGAGGTATCTGCCACATCCGGCTGATGTCACATCTTGCATGTGTTATAAATTACATTCTTTATCATTCACAACAATATGCAGGCCGCAACAAGTGAAGTCTTCAAGCCTTCTCTCGCTGTCCTGATAGCAAAGGAAGACTTGCAGCAAATTTCTTCACACCCTCGCCAGCATACTTGGTTGCAGAATGCCATTTTCTACCCTACAAACAAGAAATTTGTCGCTTAATTAAGGGCTGCAAATCTAAAATTTCTAGGAAGAGAGTTGTTTAGTATCAGAAATGTGTAGTTTTTAACATTAAGCATTTCTTAGCTATATCTTTTATTCAAGTTTAAGGGGCTGTTTGGTTAGATATTTATAAAATGTATATATTGTTGAAATGTAGAGTAATGGAATGTATACAATTTAGAGATGCAGGAATTGTTTGATTGATTGATTGCAAATCAGATGCACTGAAATTACATGAGGGCGAGCATGGACTAGAGCTAGCAACAACAAGCGGTGGTGGGTGGAAATCGAGAGCAGCGCAGCGCGGGATTTGAAAAGTCCCGGTCCTCCTATGTGGGCTCCAGTCTTCAGATGAAGACTGCCCTGAAGGAGTCGCAAGACAGTCATTATTCGGTAAAAGCCCGGTCCTCCGATGTGGGCTCCAGTATTCATGTGAAGAAAGTCAACTGATTTGGGTGGTTTTCAAATGCAGAGAAAATATATGGCTTGAGATATCTCAAATCTCTCAAAAGTTTATTTTGTATTTCCTTTACTTCAAATCAAACATTAAAAAAAATGAAAGGCAGAAAAACATAAAATTTAATACCTTACTTATGCTTGAACCGAACAGCCCCCAAGAAAAAACAAATCAACCATGCTGGATTTAAAGAAGATTGATTACCTTACGTTTGCTGTATTCTTGTTCGGATGAATGTAAGACGAATGCTTTCAAAAGTTTGCACAATTCCTTGGACTTCTCGAGATTAACAGCATGGCCTGCGTTTTTTATGACTTCAAGCTGGGAGTTTTCCTCTAAATGCCTAAAGAATTTTAGAGTTGAAGCAGAAAATTATGTCAAACAGACCTATAGCAAACATATTGAATTTTTTACTTAAGAAAATACAGAATGTTATTGTTCCTTCCATGCTTAACTTACCTTTTCAATCTGTGTCCCAACTCCAAAGGAAATATCTGATCTTGCTCTCCCCAAATAATTAGCGTTGGCTGCATGAACACAGAAATCACTCATTAATAAGTCGTTGAACTGCTCGATGTGCAGGCTTAATTGGAGCAAGTAAGAGAAAAAGATCAACCAAATATAACAACATACAAGAAGAAAGCTGGAAGGAGTCAATATATTGCCAGCTTTGGTTTTATTCAAAGTTACATTGAGAGAAACTACTCTTACCACTAAGATTCTCCAACAAATAGTAGGCTCGGTATTCCATTTAATTTCAGCCTTATTAAGGAGTTGTTTGATTGTTTGAAAAAAGAATACATTGTAAAAGGAATATTTTGGAGTTGTTTGGATGAATATAAAGTAAATACATGACTTCATTTTTTTTTTTTTTTTTTGTATGAAGTAAAGTGAATGCAATGTAAACTGCAAAAAGGTTGTGGGCAGCCGTGGTGACCGGCGGTGGTGGTCAGCAGTGGCGGTCGGTGGTGGCCGGCAGTGGCTGCCGGAGGTGGATATAGGCGTGCGTAGATGAATGGCAAGGGGTGACAATGCCCTTGAGTTTACAGTATATTTGAAAATCATTCAAATATGAGGAATTCTAAATACACCAAAAATGAACTAGAATGGATAACACTGCATTTGCTTTACTTTACTTTTCATAACCAAACAACAAAATTCTCAAAACCCCTGCATTTGGATTACTTTACACTCCAAATGGAGCAAACCAACAGCCCCTAAGATTATTTCTCTACCACCTAGTAGAATCCTGACCAGGACTCGGATCCTCTCCAGTTGCCATACTAACTGAACAAAGTTGTTAATTCTGGCCATCAAATTCACTTTGGAAGGCAAGGATTCTCCGTTTGAAAACTCAGCGATTTTAAATGGGAGTGTGTCATGTGTTCAGCTACTGAGTGACTGGAAAGGATCCAAATCCGGTGGCAGCAAGAGCATGACAATGTGCCACTTGTCCTGTCAGGTGCTAATAAATAAGAAACATGGCCCGCTGCTGTGGGGTTGCAGCAATCTGGTGTATGAAAGATCGGTGGGAAAAGATCAGATCAATCACTAAAGGAAAGCATTACCAGCTCACCTGAGAAATCTTTGGAAGATCTGAAAGCTTCCTGTCCCTGATTAAAGCGAAAATCAATCCCCTCTTCTCATCCACATAATCTGTGCACATTACCTGTCAAGGAGAGCAATTTCAGTCGGTAGATGATTCAAAGGCATATATAAAGCATCATTTGCATGTTTTCTTGAGCTATCAAAACTCAAAATGAGTAGATTCTCAGACTTAAAAAGGAAAGCATATTTACAACATTAATCTATTTTATATCCAAAATGAGGAATGTTAACTAAACAAGAAACAAGAAATGATTTGACATGTCATTCTTATTTCTGGTTTCTAGGAGGTTCGGTCTAGTCCTGTATTTGTCAATTTAAAGCGTTGTCTGTCTGTACTTGGAGGCAATGAAAATACAATCCCTGATTTCTGTTTCATCTTCCTTCTACTCGGCTTACTGCCTATGTAATTCAACATGGTATCAGAGCGTTTTTTTTTCCTCTGAATTTCTCTCTTAATCGATTGATTCTCTTCCTCTTTTCTTTTCTTTTCGCATCCGTGATTATGGCTGGATCTTCCTCTTCTTCTCCGTCTATTGATCTCAGAACTTTTTGTTCTCCGATTCAAATCCCGCCTCAGCTCAAATTTTTGATGAACAGCATCAAAAATCTTGTTCCAAATTCCTTGAATACCGATAACTTCTCTATCTGGAAGTCGCAAGTTGAGAAAATTTTTTACGCCAATGGATTTTATGGTTTTCTTGATGGAACGAATCAATGTCCTCCGATCTCTGATTCAGTTGATCCGACGTCTTCTTCCAATACGTCGTCTCCTCACGAAATTTGGTCACTTCTTGATCAAAATCTTGCTGCTGCCTTGTTCTCTATCATTTCTCCATCTATTCTTCCTTATGTTCTCTCCTTGTCTCATTGTCATGAAATATGGTCCACACTTTCCCTTCGGCTTCAATCTACGACGAGATCCCGTGTCATTCAACTGAAGAATGAATTGCATCATCTTACCAAAGGTGATAAAACTATGCAACAGTATCTTCTTGAAGTAAAATCTAAAGTTGATTCCATCACTATGAGCGGCAACACCATAGATCCCGAGGATATCATTCTTTATACGCTTAATGGCCTTCCCGCCTCCTATCAAGCGTTCAAGACGGCTATTCACACGAATCTGCAACCGCTTTCGTTGGATGATCTGTACAGTCTTCTCTGTAGTGAAGAACATATTGTTTTACAAGAAGCAACTCGTGAGCTTCAAGCCGTTCAGCTCTCCGATAACAATCTTGCTCTTACCGCGTCACGTGGTCGAGGACGAGGTCGATCAAACAATCAGCATGGTAATCGTGGCCGACGCCCCTTCCCGAACAATGGCCGCACAGAGAAGCCCTCTTATCGGAATATTACATGCCAAATTTGTTCTAAAACAGGTCATTCTGCCATTCGTTGCTGGTATCGCGCAGATCCGACGTATACCGACAACTCCAACAACACAGCTCTCTTCAGCACACCTGAATCTTCTCATCCATCTGAATGGGTATTGGACAGCGGTGCTTCTGTTCATCTTACCTCGGACGGCTCTCAGCTAAGTACTACTGAACCATATACTGGTTCATCTCAAGTTATCATCGGCAACGGGCATCAACTTCCCGTTCACAACACAGATAGGGGTATTCTGCCTACCCCATCAGGTAATCTCTATCTCAACAAATTACTTCATGTTCCAAATCTTGCGTTTAACCTTCTCTCTGTGAATCAGTTAACTACTGACAACAATTGCATTGTAACTTTTTCCTCTACTGGGTATCAAATACAGGATGCGACGAACAAACGGCCGCTTCTTCACGGACCGTGCCACAACGGCATCTACAAGATCTGTTCTGATCTCAATTCGTCAAATCTGGGATTGTTATCTGTGCAAACCATACCCGATTTATGGCATATTCGCCTAGGACATCCTGCTGTCTCTACTATTAGTCGTTTAGCTAGTTTACATTTCGAAATTTGTACTTCTGATTCTCATCCTTCTTGCAATACTTGTTGTTTAGCTAAAAGTAAACGATTGTCTTTTTTACCTTCTACAACTACTACTACTGCAGCTTTTGAACTTTTGCATTCTGATGTTTGGGTTCCGTCCCCTACTACGTCTTATCAAGGTTATCGTTACTGTGTTTCATTTATTGACGATTATTCTAAATATTGTTGGATATTTCCCTTAGTTCATAAATCTCAAGTTGCTCAAACTTTTATTAATTTTCATAAATTTATACAATGTCAATTCAATAAAAACATTTATACTATACGAACTGATGGTGGCGGAGAATACCTTAACACTATCTTTCGGAATTATTGCATTCGGTTTGGCATTGCACATCAGTATACTTGCCCATATACACCATCTCAAAATGGTGTAGCTGAGCGGAAAAATCGACATATTCTTGAAACGGTTAGGAGTCTTCTTATTCATTCTAACACCCCGTCAAATCTTTGGGTTGAAGCTCTCCATACGGCAGTTTATCTTATTAATCGACTTCCCACTACTACTCTTCATCAATAAACACCTTTCTTTAAACTTTACAACAGTCATCCATCTTATCTTCATCTCCGAACATTTGGATGTCAATGCTATCCTTGGTTAAAACCGTACGTCAAATCCAAATTATCTCCTCTATCTATACCCTGTGTTTTTATTGGATATGCTCAAATGCAAAAAGGATATCGGTGCTTAGATATTAACACTAATCGTGTATATATTTCTCGGCACGTGGTTTTTAATGAACATATCTTTCCTTTTAAATAATCTCTTCAGCGGTTAACTCATCCAGACAAGAACAATCCTATGCTTCCACCTCTGTTACTTGTTCCCTTGACTAATAGCTCGTCCACAACTAAGCATGCCTCTGCTCCTATATCTGCGTCTCAACAGAATTCTCATTGCCATTCTACTACTGACGTTTCCAGTTCGGATCAGCACACGCTCTCTTTTCCTGTTCAACCTTCATCTATTCCGGCCCGTCCCACTCATCCTATGACTACATGATCCCGCACTGGTAACCTTAAACTAAAACCTGTTTTCGATCTTACTCATCAACTAACTGGTTCGGATCCTACGTCTTATATTCAAGCCTCTAAATCTGAGCATTGGCGGGCTGCTATGTCCAAAGAATTTCAAGCCTTACAATCTCAAGGCACTTGGGAGCTTGTTTCACCAACTAATTCTGATAATCCTTTAGGCTGCAAGTGGTTGTTTCGAACTAAATACAATGCTGATGGGACTATTTCTCGGTATAAAGCTAGGCTTGTCGCCTTGGGTAACAATCAAGAGTATGGTTTAAATTACACTAATACTTATAGCCCTGTTGCGAAAATTGCTACTGTACGTGTTCTTTTACTTCTTGCTTTGCATAATAATTGGAATTTACATCAACTAGATGTTTCTAATGCTTTTCTTCATGGTAACCTCAAAGATACCATTTATATGAAACAACCACCGGGATTTATTGATGCGAACCAACCTACTTTTATTTGTAAATTAAATAAAGCTCTTTATGGCCTAAAACAAGCTCCTAGGCAATGGTTTGAGACGTTAACTAGTTTTTTGCATGAACAAGGCTTTACGACAAGTCATTCTGACTCTTCGTTACTTATTTATCATCGCAATAATCATGTTATGTATTTTCTGGTGTATGTTGACGATATTATCCTTACTGGTAATAATTCGAATGCTATAGATCATCTTCTCCGTCAGTTACAACAAAGATTTCATATGCGCAGTCTTGGCACGCTCAATCAGTTTCTCGGGATCCATACTATTCACACGTCCGATGGTTTATTGCTCCATCAAGCACCTTATGCTGAAACAATTTTAAAACGTGCTGGAATGCTGAATAGCAAACCAGTTTCTACCCCTATTCAATCAAAAGTTTCAGCTCAAATTACTTCTTCCGTTTTTACTAATCCCAAATTATATCGTCAAATTGCAGGTGCACTTCAGTACCTCACTCTTACTCGTCCGGACATCACTTATTCTGTCAATAAAGCATGCCAACATATGCATCAACCTACCGAATCAAATTTTACGGATTTAAAACGCATTCTGCGTTATATTCGTGGAACTCTTTCTTACGGATTACATATTAGTTCTTCCTCTTCTCTCATTCTGCGTGCTTATGTTGATGCAGATTGGGCAAGTGATGTTCAAGACCGAAAGTCTACTTCCGGGTACTGCATGTTTTTAGGCTCTACATTGATTTCTTGGAGTGCAAAGAAACAAGCCACGATTGCACGTTCCTCTACGGAAGCAGAATATCGCGCTATTGCTTCAGCTACTACCGAGATCATGTGGCTTCGTCGTCTTCTTCAAGAACTTGATTGTTCTCAAGGTGCTCCTACAACGCTTTATTGTGACAACACGTCTGCAATAGCACTGGCAAACAACCCAGTCTACCATGCCCGAACCAAGCACATAGACATCGATTGTCATTTTATCCGGGAATGCATTAAAAATAAAACAATTCATGTACATCATATTTCTACTGTAGATCAATTAGCTGATGTGTTTACAAAACCCTTATCAATTTCGCGTTTTTCTTATTTGACAGACAAACTGATCGATAAATCCTTATCATCAGTTTGACGGGGTATGTTAACTAAACAAGAAACAAGAAATGATTTGACACGTCATTCTTATTTCTGGTTTCTAGGAGGTTCGGTCTAGTCATGTATTTGTCTATTTAAAGCGTTGTCTGTCTGTACTTGGAGGCAATGAAAATACAATCCCTGTTTTCTGTTTCATCTTCCTTCTACTCGGCTTACTGCCTCTATGTAATTCAACAAGGAAGAGTTATCATGAGAAAAACAATAGAGTTCTTTTTGTAAAATAGATGACAAAAATGCTCAGCAATATTCAACATAGCTGTTAGATTAATAATACCATTTTATACATTAAACAAGTGCAATAATTATGGATAAATATAAAAAAACATTCCATTATAATAATTAACTAATACATTACTATTCATTTTTTTATCCTTAATGTTTTTGTTAGTAATACATCTATTATTATAATTAATGTTATTACTATCTATCATAAATTTCTCTTGTTCCATAGTG